CTGCGTGTCCGGAAGTCCACAGACACGCCCACAAAGTGGTTTAGGCGCTCAGCTTGCTGATTCACTTACGTTTGAGTCGAGCCAAGGCGGCCGAAATCGGAGCGCGCCTCCCCGACTCGAACCCGAGCCAACGAGAGAACCGATGGTAGGAGCCGATGGAAGTGGGCTTCCGCTGTGAATTTCCGGTGGCTGAGCAGCCAGCTCTGCTCGCCGTGACGCTGAGGATCTGTGCGACAATGTCGGCTGCCTGTGGCATGCGTGCAGGGGCAGCAAAAGGCGATAAGATTCGAGGGCAAAAGAGGCAAAGAAGTGCTCCCTGCCAGGCTCGAACTGGCGACCTTCAGATTATGAGACTGACGCTCTACCAACTGAGCCAAAGGAGCATCATAACGGAACAACCACCCTCACACCCTCGCAAACGATTTTCAGCTCCCCTGCGCGCAAAACACGCCCTACGCTCACTACCACCGCATCGCCGCGTCGCCGCCCACGCCACGGACTGCCTCGTAGCCTTGGACGGCCGCTCACAGGCCTCCCGTCTTCTCCACACACCTCCGCGCAAAAAAGATGTCATCCCTCCCCGTCATCGAACGAAGGCTGCCGAGTCTTTCTCGACACTACCATGTCTTCTGCGGATGCTACTGAGTACTACGGGCGTGTTTGAATCCCGAACAGACTCACGCTACACGCTCCGGGTCGGAGCTCTCGACACCAGACCGATCCTCTCACGTCGTCGTGTACAAGATGTTCTGCGTGTCCGGAAGTCCACAGACACGCCCACAACGTGGTTTCGGCGCTCAGCTTGCTGATTCACTTACGTTTGAGTCGAGCCAAGGCGGCCGAAATCGGAGCGCGCCTCCCCGACTCGAACCCGAGCCAACGAGAGAACCGATGGTAGGAGCCGATGGAAGTGGGCTTCCGCTGTGAATTTCCGGTGGCTGAGCAGCCAGCTCTGCTCGCCGTGACGCTGAGGATCTGTGCGACAATGTCGGCTGCCTGTGGCATGCGTGCAGGGGCAGCAAAAGGCGATAAGATTCGAGGGCAAAAGAGGCAAAGAAGTGCTCCCTGCCAGGCTCGAACTGGCGACCTTCAGATTATGAGACTGACGCTCTACCAACTGAGCCAAAGGAGCATCATAACGGAACAACCACCCTCACACCCTCGCAAACGATTTGCATTTCTCCTGGTGCAGGAGTATCCAGAGGCAGACTTGGTGGATGATGAGCGGGCAAACCTGGCAACCCGTTTATTTAGAAAGGGGTTGTCATCATTTTTATCTTGCCAAATCACCGCCGGGCCGTCGGCTGCCGTCATCCATATTTGTGCAGAATGGTGACTCGGGACAGTACAGAACAGCTATATCATCCATGTTGATGTGACGATATGTACGGTGGGCGCACATTGGCTGGACTATCGATAATAGAACACGAAATTTCTTCTCCGTCATCACATTTTTGGTGTCTACTGGCCATCTGCAAGATTTCTCGAGAACGCAAAGTCTAGTTATTTTCCGAGTTTACCAACATCATCAGGAGCAATTGGTGATTTGTGTTGACATTAATAGTCTATCACGCGGACTTTCTCAAGTCAAGGCTGCCTCCTACGAATGGGTCGGCTCTCCGACACCCTGCGTCGATTATAACGGCTGTTAGCACCACCCGGAAGCTAGGACAGCACACTTACAGGAATACCTCATCACGCTGTGTTGCAACGAAATGTGCAGGATCTTACACAGCATGTACATGGTCTTAGTGGACTAGTAACATCGCTAGCAGGATAAGTAAAGGCGTTAACCCCCCAACGACCACACGTTGTATCTGACAACATGTCACATGTTGTATATTTTAGACATACAACATGTTTTAATAGGGATTGGCTCTAAAAACGGCAAAAGTATACTTAAATCAAGTATAAGCAAATCTTGGGCATAACAAGGCGACCTCCCCAATGCACAGGGGTAGGTGGGTTTGGAACAGAGAGGGTTTGGAACAGAGAAGCCACAGCAAAAAGCTGTCCCAGCTCCCTCTCTTCCGAAATCAGTGGCTGATGCTCATTTGAAGAATCGCCGGCTGAGACGCAAGACCCCAGAAGTGACAATGGGACCAAAGCGCGCGCCCCAGCGAGAAACCCGCAGTGAGCACCAGCGCTTTTTGCAGCGCTTGGAAGGACGGAGCGCGGGGGAGAGGCGGCGTCTCCAGAAGGAGCATGCGGATTTCCTGGCAGGGCGCCGCGACACCGACGCGGACTTTGGCGACGATTGCTCGTCGCCACCGGCACGCACGCCACGGCCGTATGTACCGCCGCCGATGGGCAAGAGCGCGTCGTACATGGAGAGGAGAAGCAGTTGGCCTCGAAGTAGCGGCGTGTGGTGGCTGCCAAAACATACGCAGATTCTGGCAAGAAGGCGCTTCCACGACGCAAGCAGAAGTCGGTGCATGCGGAGTTCGTCTCGGAGGACGAAGCCGACGACGAAGATGAGGACTACGAGGATGAAGAGGCAAACGAATACGACGACGATGAGGAGCTGGAGGAGCTAGAGGAAGAGGAAGTGGTGTCGCCGGAGACGACGAAGGCGAAGGGCAAGGCGAAGGCGAAGGCGAAGCAGAAGCCCAAGGCCCAGGCGAAGAAGCCGCGAAAGCCAACGGCTGCGGAGCTTGCGAAAGAGACCAAAGAGGCGCGGCGCGCTGCTGCCGAGCTGCGTTGCATTGCGTCGGCAGCAGCTGAAGCGAAAGGCGCGTCTGAGCTGGATCAAGCACGGAAGAAGATTGATGAAGCGACGAAGAAGACGACGACGAAGAAGGACAATCACGTGGACACTTCTCCTTCATCGAACGGCAGCGCGACGCCTGTGTCTGAGCAGCGGCCATCGTCGGCGTCGCCGCAGCCACGGTACAACTTATCTATCTGGTGGACCATCCAACATGTACTAACTGTTGATGTTGTATTTCTTGTAGTCTGGTACAGCATGAAGATCATACAACAAGTGGAGTGGTGGATGATACAACATGCGCAGGTGGAGAAAGGTACAACATCGCATGGCATGGTATACAACATATGTGACATACTACATGATGACTGACGCTTTGATTTGATTATACTATAGGAGCGTCTCCGCACTTCAAAGTCCGACACGCGATTCGACTGATAGAGCCGCCGAATCATCCCAGCCTCAAGCGGCCGAGTATGAGGTGCTCAACTCAGACTGCGAAGACATCGAAACGGAGGTTGGCTTCTATGACGATGATGATGAGTTCCAGCGTACCAATGACGACCGGCACAGAGATGGCACTGCAGACGAAAGCAGCGAGTGGGATGATGCAATGAACGCCAGCGGGTCCGAGATTGATGACATGCCAGTTGCTGCGGGTGAAACTCTGTCAGCCGACGCTGAAACCACACCAGCGGAATCGAGTAGTGATCGCCCTGCTCGTGACTAGATAGAGCTGCGCAAGGACGAGATGAGCGCGTTTGCCCAGGATGAGCACAACATGGCGGACATGCGATCAAGTGGCTGGGAGTTTGGTACGTGATCATCTGATGTTGGCATATACAACATGTACTCACGAAATCATGTTGTCTGTGGCGTCATGTAGATCCGGCGAAGTTTCCTCCGGATGCGAGGTACCCAGGCTTATACACAGAGGCGTACGGTCCGACTTCTGAAGTGTTGGAGCTGGCAGAGTCGCCGCTGGATTTGTTTCTATTCTTCATGCCGAAGAAGTTCTGGAGAAAGGTGGCAGCAGAATCGAATCGGTACTTCCTGCAGAACGTGACCACACGGGTCGACCGAATGTATGCCAATCAAAAGACGCCGGGCAAGAATTCAAGGGATGAGTTCATGATGCGCGAGGCGAAGAAGGACGACATTGAAGCTCACGAGATTATACACGTCCTGGGATTGCTGCTGGCGCGGATGCTGAACCCACAGCGCCGCTGTTTTCGAGACTATTGGTCTACGGAAAGGGTTGGAGCTGTGGCACGCGGAACGTTCAACGACTACATGCCTCGCCATCGATTCGAGCATATCATGGCTAACCTACAGTTCACGAACAACGCCGACCCTCAAGCAGCATCGGACAGGGCGTGGAAGGTGCGCTCCGTGGTCAAGACGCTGCAGGAAACCTTCCCGCGAGGATATACTACACCGCCGGTCGTATCGTTCGATGAAGGCGTCATACCCTCCCGCAACCGAAACAACCCGACCCGCCAATACCTCAAGAACAACCCGCACAAGTGGGGCACCAAGCTCTTCCTGACGTGCTGTGCAGACACAGCTTACTGCATGCGGTAAGGAGAACACGACGCGGGTCCATATGGACCCGCGTCGTGTTTTTTTTTGCTTAAGTCAACATGTTGTATCTAACACCTGATTGTAATATGTGATGTTGGATTATACAACATACAGCCTTGAGGTATATTGTGGAAAAGCCCAGCATGCGGCGGAACTAGGCAACGTACCGGACAGCCAGCGTTCTGCGGACCCGAACTCCGGGCCAGTTGCAGTGACCCGCAACCTTGAGGCCGTTCTACCAGCGCCGCTAGACGATGTTTACCACCTGGTGGTGACGGATAGATTCTACACGTCGGTTCAGCTCGCGCTTCAGCTACTACAGCGCAATGTATATTCAATTGGAACTATCATGGGGGACAAAGTCGGATATCCACAAGAAATCGTGGAAAAGAACCGCAATCGTCCTAAGCGCGTGCAGCATGGAGCGGTGCGGATGGCGGTGGCTCGGAACTGTGGATTGATGACGGGATTAGTTTGGTGGGACCGGAAGCCCGTTCAGTTCTTAGGAACCGAATCAAGCAGAGCAATGGAGACATATCGTAAGTACCTATCAAATTATCTGTTTTACAGTCGAGGCTAACTGTGCTTTTTGTAACATTGTAGAGCGACGTACACGGGGCACAGGAGGTAGACGCCATGCTGTTCCCTGCCCATGGTGCGTGATTACCACCAGTGGATGGGTGGAGTGGATATCCACGATCAACTCCGACTCCAGCCCTATTCTCTGCAAGGGCAGACGTCGTGCAAGAAGTACTACAAGTCTATCTTCTTAAGACTGGTAGACGTGGCAATCGTGAACGCCTACATCGTATTCCGGGAGGCGGCCAAGCGCATGGATCTCAAGCCAGCTTCGCATGCCGAACTTTTGCTGGAGCTACACGCCCAGTTATTGCAGCTCAAGAAATAAGATTTCGTGGAGCGGGTAAGTCTACATGTTGTATGGGGTACATGTTGTATGCGAGTACGTTCGCTGAGCGTGCAGATACATGTTGTCTCTGGCACATGTATGCCAGTGCATTCGCTGAGCGTGCAGATACATGTTGTATGGGGTCCATGTTGTCGCTAACATTGCTACTCTAGCCGTCAGCAAGTGGTGACGACGACGAAGATGCAGAACTTATGGCGCCCTTGCAAAAGGACCACGAGCCGGTAGAATGCCCAGACTG